AACACCACCAACACCAACACCAACACCAACAACAACAACAACAACAACAACAACAACAACAACAACAACAACAACAAACATGAACAAGTAACAAGATAGAAAGCAGACGAGCAGTCTTTGCATGACTCCTCGCATCCTTTCCCTTGCGCTGCGGGCACCTTCCGGAAATTCTCGTAGCCTCAGGGCACCAGGCCCTTCGCTCCCAAACACTGTGGCTATGGAGCAGGTGTGTTCCCGAGAGACGGTTAAGCTTCCAGCTCAGCGGTCCCAGGTGATGTTTGTGACGGGCCTTTCCGACAGGCTCTGATCATTGACTGCTATCCTGGAAAACCAGTGGCGGATGGACATGACATGAACCATTTCACTTGCCATAATCTCACTGAGGCAATGGCCTTCCGCGCGTGTGGAGTGTTTCCATTTTCACTCATCGCATGGGGGCTGCACCCGGCTGTGTCTCTGTATGTACTGTTTGAGGACGGGTTCGACCAAGATTCGCTGTGCACGGCACTGGGGATGCACGCACTCTGAGGTGGCACTTTGAAACTTGAGCCGCGAGCCTCGTTTGCTTGGAGGCAGTGCAGAAATCAGGTAGAGCCTTGGACCCTGAATTAACACCAAGACACCATTGCAGAGAATGCTAACAAAAAACAAACTGGGAGCGCAAGAAAGTATGTGTCTGGAGTATGAGCAATTTTCTCGAAGTCGAACCTTCTGGTAGATGGTGACATCTGTAGTACTGTTATATTCACGACTCCCTTTTGTTCGCAAGTAAGCAAGCAGAGTTTCTTGTATGCATATAATGTGTGCAGTCATGTACACTGCGATCTGGGCAACACAGATTTCACCTCTTTACCAGTCGGCAGCTCACCACATTCCGAGCCATGCTCAGCCACCACCCTCTCCAGATTCAAGCGGCGCATAGGCCGTGTTCTCGCCTGTGGTGCATATGCAACCAACAGAGAAGGTCAAAACTCCCCCCCCTCCCGCAGGGCATACAACGTCCATGGCTATTTTGCTGCGAGCCTTCTGGAACGATCTCTCGCCTCGGGAAGACCATGCTGGAACTTGCTGATGGTGGGTTGGACAGCCGTCCCTGCAGGCACGTGGACTAATAGCTCACCCAGGAGTCGGAAAGCAAGCCTTGTCATTCCGACTCATCTTTCTACTTAATACCCTCCACCTTCGCCTCGTCCCAAAAAAGCCACCAACAAATCGAGCGATACATTGGAACGCAGCAGAAGTACATGCCAACGTCACAGCCTCGCGTTTGCAGGAGGGTTACTGGATCCTCTCATGCTTCCGCCAGAACGAGCCTAAAGGAAATGGACTCCTCTGCCGTCCCTTTTCTTCCCCTGCCCGCCGCAGGCGTACTGGGCTCCCGGACGCACGGGATGCGCCCCGAGCCGTTCCGATGCATATCAGCCTGGGTCATCAGAAAGACGGACGAAGTCAAACCAAAGACTCGAACCTTCGAAGTCAGTGTTCAACCTATAATGCACCTCTTAAGGACTATCATGCAAAGCGACTCGGAAGAGCTGGGTCTGCGGCAAGAAGGGGCCGAGTGTCAGCGCGGAAAGCCCGCAGGCCTTGCAAGATGCAGAAACGCTCAGAGACCAGAGGTCGAGCAGAGGCTGACAGTGTTCGCCTTCATGAGAAAGAGCAGCGGCAAGCGGGGCAAGTCTCCAACGTTGCCGACCTGGGACTGCAAGAGACGAGCGCGCTTCGTTCTGCTTCCGCTCTCGCTTTCTCTCTCTCTCTCTCTCTTTTCTCTGAGTCTTCCGGCATAAGCCCTGGAGAGGCCACCGTGCTCGCCCAGGAGATAGGCGCAATCAAATGGCTTGTCCTCAAATGACTGCTGGGTACGACGGATCTGCTATCACTTAGCACGGTGAGCGCTTGCGAGAAGTTTCGGACAGTCTGAGAGGACTGAGCTGCCTTGGGGAGCGTCTCTACACTCTGAGACCCCTGCAGCCTTGGTGGGGATGAGCTTCGAGCAACTGTCCTTTCAGAGCGCTTTACGACGTTCAGTTTGGTGCACTCAGGTGATCCGGCGTCCTGCACATAGTCCCAGACGATCCCTGCAGAGAAAACAGGCCAAAGCACAGATCTGCGAAGGATGCGGACGCCGCTCATCTCCAGCCTTGCCAGTAAGTGAAGTGGAGGCTGGTCCTGAGATACCAAGGCTGAGGCCCAGTCTCCAGACGAAACTCCCGAGACCCAGGCTTCCCCGCGATCTCTTCATCCCCTTTGACTTTCAGATTCAAGCTGCAGGGCACATCTGTCCAAGAGGGCCTTCCGGGAACAGCTCTCGAGCTTCGAGAAGATGTGGATCAGTCAGAGCTCGGAAGTGGCAGGTTGCGATGCAGCTCTGGAGACTCTGTATGGTGCAAAGCGCGGCAGCCCCTTCTCAAATGTGCCGGTGCACCCAGTGATCGGAAACTCCCATCCTGGCCAAAGGCACATCGTCCACAGAACAGAAGCGCTTCCCAACTCTCAGAATTCGCAGGGGATAACACGTGCTGCGGGAGGTGGGAAGCTAACCCAAATACTTCGTGTCCTTGGCATCTGCACGGAATCAACTGTCATGACCAAGCAGTGGATCTCATGAGCCACGGTCGGGAACATGACCGGCCTGCTTTCCAACCGGAGCTATAATGCGAAGGGGACACTATCTCACCTCGGCAGACAGGAAGTCCAAGCGCCTCGTATGTGAAAGCATCGACTTGGCACACGGCATGTCCCATCTTGTAAGTGTTGCCGGACTTCCTGGCCACTGCTCTGCAATGCGAACGATACAAACCTCATGGGGAACAAATCCTCGGCATCCACGAAGCGCTTCCAGAAGTAACCGTTTAACAGGACGACGCCTAACGAGGGCAAGCAAAACAATGTGTGTCATCCTGAAAAATGGCGGCAACGGCTCCCAAAGTCCGAGGATGGCGCAAGCCATGATCACGGCAATGATAGCGAGACCTTGGCATCAGCCTTTGAGCCCGACTTCAATTTGCCCCGGCTGCTGAGAACGGTGCCAACTGGTGAGTACTCGGCCATGACGGCACGCTTTGGAGTCTCACTGCAATTAGACATTGCTTCGCCAATGATCAGGCCTGCTTTCGCAAACGTACGGCGGCTAGCTTTGGCGGTTCAACACGGGTACAGTCAAGGATTTAAACTGGCTAAAGCTTGGCCAACTCGGTGCTTGAAACCGAGACGCTGCACAAACACGTCGTCAGATCAAGTGTCGCCATCATGAATGCAGCAGCGCCGGCAAGAAAAGCAGTCGAAGCCCGTGAGCATTGGCTTTTATTCTCCTGGGCCAGGCTCTCGAGCGCCTGAGAAAACCCTCGCGCTGACACGAGGTCGAAGATCTTGTAGCTTGCAACTTACACGTCTGTCGGTACGTCCGAAACCTCTCGCTCGTTTTGCGATTTGCTGTTGTTGGCGTGATGCGCACCTTCAGACACCCTCCCTTTCCGACATACAAAGACTTACCAAGGTTAGATGAAGGACACTTCTTCTCTGTCTTGCCCTTGCTCGCGCACCCTCAACTTCCAACTCTGAGATCCTAGTAAGAAGGAACGGACATAATTCCGCAGGAGGAGTGTGGAAAGAACCAGCAACACCTACCCACCTACTTCGTTGGCGGGCAAATCCTTGAAACCGGGCCCTTGATCACGATCTCTACACGGCTCCACACTGTGCCGCCCTCCTCCTGTGTATGTTTGGGGCCGTGCTGTTTCACACAGCTCCAAAACTCACAGCAGTTTTTTCTGATGAGCGCAGACTGCATTGGTAGCTGTCTGCGACGACCGCTCACAGCTTTGCAGAGGTCAGGAGACGTTTACAGGCTCGGCTTCAGGGACTTCAGCATCTTTCACATCGTCGCTCAGCTGCTTCTCCGGCAGGCCCTCAAGCAGCAGCCTTTTCGAGACACAGCAAAGTCCTCACGATGCACACTGTTGCTTCAACCACGCGATTTGCCGTACGATTGGACATAGGACATTCATGCATGAAGCACAGAGCTTGTCGCGCAGAGCCACGAGCACTCTGGATACACAAAGAAAAACGGATCCTGCGAGACATACATAGACAAATAAACAATTACATGCATACGCATGTAGGTATGTATGCATGCATGTAATGCATGCAGGCAGGTTTTCGCGCTACACGTAGAAGATGTTCAGCGACTACAGAGATCAACATGAACCTGAGTTGTGGTGTGGGGGCTGGCGAGGACATGCAGCGTGCCGAATGCAGAAACTTGGCACCCAGCCTCCGCACACCGTTGCAGTGAGCGGCACCGAGCACGGCCACGACTGAACCGCTATCCTTGTGGGAAGCGAAGCTCCATTGTGCCAGCGTGAGAAGAAACTTGTCACAGTCCTTCTTCTGGCAAACTCTTTTGATGTTCTCGGCCAGGATCAAGTCCCGATCCCGCAGCAAGACCTGCAAGATGACGCGGAAGAGCACCGCCTGCCAGGCCAGGCGCCAAGGCTCTGCGAAGCACAGGCCTAGGCTCTGCCTACTTGGCCCCTCCTCGGCCGCTATCATGATCAGATCACCAAGAATACCGCTTGGCAATACCTTGCGGCAACTGCGCAAGCTCTTCCAAGTTGGGATATGCCAGGCAGGGAATACAAAAGCGCACCGCGCAAGCGAGGTAGAAAGCAAGCACGCCCGCCAACAGAGTCGGTGCCTGCACGGTCCGGAAAAAGACCCGTGCACTGTTTTTGCTCGCAGTTGCCTCGTGCCTTTAGCGCCGTCGAGAGCACATAGCGAGGCACGGCGACCACAAACCCAAAGATCCTTGCATGAAAGGCAGAAGATGAGAGAGAGAGAGAGGACGGACATCGAGGCCCTGACAGCTCTGGGTCCGCAAAGTCCGCCAGCCCGAGGCCCTGAAAGCAGCAGTCACTTTGTGCATTTCCCATGACGTATCACTAGCTTGTATCCTCGGACGAGGAGATCAGATTCTTCAAATTCTGGTTACTTGTGGCAGCCTCCTCGGAGCCTGCGCTGGCTTCGGCCTTCCTGGAGCAAGAGTCCGACGATGTCTCAAAGCCGAACAAACGGCGACATGTAAGCAGTCTGCCTCTTCCTGAGATTTGCGAGGTTGGCCTCGGGAGCTGGCATCGATTGGACCAGTCTGCAAGAAGGTCATCAGTCGTGCATCATGCGGGTTGCGGCATGCTGACGCCAGTTCTGGCAATTTTGGGAAAGCAGCCGAGACTGGAGAAGCAGCAATTCTGCTACCAACACTAAAGAGTGACTCGGGAGCATGGAGAAAACGCGTGTTACCTCAAACAAGTGCATCAGTCTGCAGTGCTGCAAGAAGCGAGGAGGACCACAAGTAGGGACAGGACCATACCAGTCACCAAGGCCGCGCCTTGCAGGATACTGCGTCTCCGCTTCATGCTGTCCAAAAAAAGGTCTCGGAAACCAACAGGCCGTCCCTCTGCTTCTTACCAACAGGCTGCCTGCTTTGCACTCCAGACTCTACACCGTGCCTGTTCTCTGCCATCCCTCCAGAGGTGAGAGCATGTCATCGATCGCGGCCCTGCAGCGGTAGGTCTGCAGAGCTCTGCAACCCCTTCGCCCAACCAGTGTAAGTATTCTTATCGCACGTACGATTCTAACAGAGACAAACCTGAAACAGATACAAGCAGGCAGGCAGACAGATTCTCGGATACAGTGCTGATGCATCATAAAATGTGCAATGTCCCCGAGTTTCCCTGTTGCAGAGATGTCCCGGATCGCGCTACTGTACTGCCGCCGTCATCTGGCCTCAAGCTGGCAGCCGCGATCCCCTTTTGTTAGCGGCCTCGTTCCTCTTTCAGAAATCTCCTGAAGCACGGCTACGCAGAATCTTTTCCCGGCCTGCCGGCCGTGGTGATATCCCTGGTCAAATCCTCGATTCGCTGATCTCCCAAGACCTCGGTGCCGTCATCTAGCTGCAGCCCCTTCGTGGCAGATATGGTGTGCAGGCCCTGCTGTAGTAGGCAACAGCTCAGATCGGGCCCTGGCCACGTCGATGCTGCGCTCCTCCGCAATTTCTGCGGCGGCCTGCTAATTCTTTGTGCGAACTGCCTTCTGCACGCTCCCGGCATTTACGACAGAAGCACGTTGGGGGCGGGACAGCTCCTGAACAGGCAGGCTGGGAGAAACAGATACGACTGAAAGCAAAGTGCTTCTAGCATGTACGAGCACTTTTTTTGTCGTCATGAGGATCATAGCCCTGGCTTCCGTTGATACAGCCGCTCGTCAGGATTTGGTGTGATCATTACCAAGCAGTCGAAGTCCACATCGTCCTTCCCGGGCACCCCATCGCAAATTTCTTTCTCGATCTCTTCCTCGAAAACTGCATGGACTTCCTCTTTTAGGCATGTTTTCCTTAGTTGCAGGGGTTTGCCTCAAAGTTTGCGACACAGAAAGCATGCTCTGTCAGTCAACTTCCTCGAAGCTGCGACACAAAGGTGCGGAACTCTCTGACCTCCTGCGGGATGCAGATCGGTAATCAAAGACATGTATGTCTTCGATTCAAACTGCATGATCCAGACCGTAGAGTTTCAGCTCCTTTGTTTCCCCGGTCTTGGTCTGTATGGGGAGCTCGATTTGGACAAGGCATTCTTCAAGCGAAGTTAAATTCTCCATACTTGCGATCTCTTCCAAACCAGACTTGTAGTGCTGCACTCCTGGGCAGAGGACATATGCGTATGCAATCGTATTGTCAGAATGTTGTCCTCAGTGCTGTGCCGAACGCTGCGCTGAGCTTGGATACCACAGGCAAGCAAACTTCAATCTACGGCCGTTCAATGGAAGCGGCAAGCTCTATCTCACAGCACAATTTCGAGAAATAGTATGGCAAGGTTCGAACGTTGAATGTACAGTTCGCCATGCACGCCAAGTCTGGTGCTGCACAGCTGCCACCTTGTTGCAAACGAATCAGCACCAAAACCAATCCTACATGTCACGGTTTACCTTATGTGCGAGTACGAGTGGGTACACGTCTAGATGCTGACCGCCCCAAGCCTAAATTCATCATGAAAGCCTAACCAACTTGCAATATGTAACCGAAACGATATAACCGTGTATCAGTCTGTCGTTCTGTCTGCCTGTCCGATTGTTTGCCTGCATGTACGAGGGATGAATGTATGCTGACAATGTATTTCGATCTGCCTATCTATCTGTCTATCTATATTAAAATATTAATAAGTTAATATGTTAATATGTTAATATATATATATATATATATATATATTAATACATACATCTACTGATATATACATATATATATATATGTATATGTATACTCATATATACATATATATATATATATGTATACTAATATATATATATATATATGTATATATATATACATACACTCCAGATATGGATGGTCCCCTGCCCGCCCCCACCCTCTCCGCGCCGAGATCCACCCCCGCTTGGTTCGTACACCGCTACAGGTAGTACAACACTCAGAGAATACAAACCTTGCTGCTATATCTCGCGTGTGGACGTGATTGTACATCTGGAACCGAAATTTGACTCCAGATTAACATCAAAGTGTTTGTGGGAAAGGCTCGACATGCTGGAAAGTGTGGCAAGCTTGCCGATGTGTTCATGAACAACCTTAAATGATTTTTGTTTTAGTGCGTTTTGTTTAACAACAATCCTCTTACAAAAAATCGTCTTACGTTTGTATGTTGAGCCATCTCATTCCCGTTGCGCGTGAAGCGTCCGGTTGTGCCTGCGCTCGACCGTTGGGCTCTTAATAACGAGAAGATACAAAAAGTCGTTTCCGTCATACATGCAAGAAACCGAATAAACGAGCGCTGTTAATATTGATCTCAACTTCAATATCTGTTTTCCTTCATACGAGATAGGAAGACTTCTTTGTAAGGGGAAACTTCATTTTCATAGGAGAGAGCATAAGGCTTCTCGATCGGCATCTCTTTCCACGATATGGGACAACATCAATAACAATGAACCACAAATTTGAATTACAACTAAATAAGACCAGCATGGGCGACCTTCTTCATACTTATCTAACAAGCGTACTGAGAACTCTTGCAGCTTCACAGGAAGCATACGACGGCACTTTTGTTGCTTGACGACTGACGAGACCTGCGGCTTATCTTGTAACACAAGGTGTCGTACTTTATTCCTCGGAAGCTGAGCAGAGCAGCGTTTTATCTTGCGATACGAATCTAAACATAGCAGCAATCAGCGCTGTCTTTGTTTGCTGCTAAGATCTAGCAAGATCTGCACTTTGCTGATAAAGCCTGAGTTCATCAAGACAGTGGGTGTTTGCAGTGTAGTTTCGCGGATTTGCGCTGCGCATGTTTGGCATGAGCCAGTGTTTGTGATGACTCTGGTTTTGACTGACAATATAGCTGGAGTGGGAAAACAGGGTTTTCCAACGTCTTGGAAGTGGGTGAGAGGAAACTCCTGTGGATGCGCTAAGCTGAGACTTCAGAGCTCGCTACTGCCAGCAACCGTTATCGAGTCCTGGTGCGAAGAGCTGGACACAGACGAGTCTTGCCTTGTATGGGCCCAAGTCTGCACACATCCACATCAGTATCTTCGTGTCCTGCGAGATCGGTAAGCTACTGCTGCTTCCTTCTCTTCATGTTTTGTGTCACTGTGCTCCGTTTTAAGTTCGTTCTCTGCAAGTGTCGTCCAGAAGTCCTCCCTCAACTGAATCGTCGGTGCTGCAAAACATTCCAACAAATCCAAAAGCTTGGGAAGTTTGCCCCTCGCCTACCCATAAATTTGTGAACTTCTTGAGATTTTTCACCATAAGTGTCCTGAACCTCGCAAAATGATGCAATGCTAACACATGTCACATAACTCCAGGCTGTTGCAGAAATTCGCCTATCCATGGATGCCAGAATGTTGAATTTGTTGGGTTTTTTTAGCTCTATTGTGTTTCGTGAATTTTTCAACTGGAAATATTGAAAGCTTGTGACCATTACGGTGTTGCTTGCACCCCACGCCCCCGTGGACGTGTGTGTGTGTGTGTGTGTTTGTATATATATATATAGATAATTATGTATACGCCTATATTTATTTAAAACCCTAAGTTCCAAGCAAGAAAGACAAAGGGGCACTCGCTTCTGATCGCCTCCTCCTCCTGACGGGGCTGACAGGGCATGTGGCCAGTGCCAGGTGGAACGCACGCGCATCTGCTGCATAGAACTGTCCGCTGGCTTAAGGGTTTGTGGCGCTTTGGATCTTTTGGGGTCGCGGAGCTCCGAGCACGAGCCTTGTCGCTGGCCATCTTCGGAGGATGTTTGCAATTTGCTTCGATCAATCCTGCACAATGTGCCGCGGTCAAATTTCAGCGAAACAGGGCTCCAAAGCTGCAGAACGTTTATGCCACATAAGCCGGGCTACTTCGCGCTCCATGCAGTTTCCGGCTCTTCCGACGTTCCAGTGCGTTCCTTCGAAGCAGGCAAGGCTTGAACACAACGGATGATTACTGCTGGGGCAATGCTGAGCGTCAAAATTGCAGCTTGAAGTCTGGTCTGCCGTCAACGACTCAATGTCTTCGTCTTGCCGCAGCGTGAGGCCAAGCACGAGAAGCACGCTGAAGAGGCGCAGAGCACGTGGCAGTCCAAATTGGCGCCGCAAGGGGACTTCCATGGAGAGAAGTTTGCAGATGTCGCACCGTCTGCTGAGCGCTGTGTCCGTAAGTCTGACAAACTGCTGGAAGTCTACTGTAGCGAGGGGCTTGGAATGACATGTTAGAGCATGTGATTAGAATTCGGACAGTAGCGCTTACTTGCAGACAACTTAGCTGGAAGCCAAAGCGGCCTGGCAAGAGTGGGTGGCGCATCTTCGTTTCTCGCAAGGCTCTGAACCCAGACGGGGATGTGTCATGCTACGCCGCACGGAGCAGAAGATGGCCCCTAAACCAGGCACTGCCTGCATCTCGTTGTCCAGGATAGACCGGAGAGGACTTCCGGGCTTTTGAGTCTCCTTCTCTGGCTGTTGTGGCGTTTCGGGGCCTCTGGAACACGGTGGGACGGAAAGGACCAGGGACCAAAGAATCATCGGACATTCACTCCGGGCCCGTGTCAGAGGTCCCAACAGCTCTGTCAGATCACAACGGATCTCCTCTACTCTTCTCCACCGAGTCTTGCCTCAGAAACTCAGTTGCCGACCACTTCGCACAAGACGCGAAACTCCATGCTGGACTGCAGGCGAAGAACACTCCGACTTTGATGTTCTTGCCAGGCTGCAGGTCTCCAGCATGACGGCACCCAGCTCTTCGTTCTCGGCAAGCTTCCTATGCGCAGATATATTGCGTATGGGAAGGGGATCCTTCCGATTCCAACTCAGAAACACCCCGCTTTAGCAACCTTGCTGCCTGCACTTACCCTTCTTGACTGTGTTTACGAGTTTGTGTTTGGACGGGCCTGGTCACTTCAGTCGCCTTCTGCACCGAACGCCTCAATCCACCATCTCTGGGCTTCACTTGCGCAGCTATGCTGTTCTTCTTACTGTCTGGGGCAGCTGCGGATTGAAGTGCACCGAGGCGATAAGGACCACCTCTCTGCCACTGGAGGGCTCGACGAAAGGCAAGACCTGTACTTGTGGAGCGCGTTCGAAGGGACCGGAAAGTGTCGCTTCATGAACAGCAAGAGGGGTCCCTGCCTGCGGCTCCCGGGCGGTGGCCCGACGCGTGCATCTCGCCGCCGCAGCGCCGGCTATCAGCAGCGGCGCAGCTGTCGGACACTTTTGAGGCAAACCCAAACAGCTCCCGCCCTCTCAAAACGCACAGCGCCGCGCAGCGCCGTGCAGCGACCGGGCCAGGCCTGTCACGAAGCCGTCCCGAGACCCGCGGCGCTTTGTCGCCGGAACGGAGAGCCGAGGGGCGCCGCTCGCCGTCGCAGCGCTCCTGACGGGCCTCCCAGGGAGCCAGAACAAAAACAAAACACATATCGCGTCGTGAGCCGCGACGTATTTTTTCGAAGTCCGTCCTGGCGCTCAGGCCGGGAGCCGCGACGAAAGGCAAAGCGAAAGCGGCCATCTCCCTGAAGAATCAACTTCCGAGGAGTTCTCCAAGCTGGTTGCAGCTCGGCGCAAGAAGGGCTTAGGGCTTAGGGCTTGCTGAGATCAGTGTGCATTGCTGCGAGCCACGGCGCTGAAATTCTCCGCAGTCGAAGCTGCAGACAGCAACGATGCCACGAACAAAGAACTCTGCCCCCTCTCTGCATTTTATGGTGATTTGAAAGCTATAGGGCAACGCGACATCCAAAGCACATTCGGTTTTTCCGTCACGCCACTTGATGTCTTCTCCGTGCGGCAGCCTTGGCTTCAGCAATTTTGAGGCTACTCCATCCCGACATCACAAAACTCCGAAGTCCCAACTTCTCCGAGGAAGCGCTTGAGCCGAGCAGTAGCACCGAGCCTAAACGCGCCAAGCGGCCGGTGAGGTCGAGCGACCTTCGAAAGCCCGGGAGGAGCGGAGCTCCCTCCGTCCGCCTGGGCCTTCGCGGCTTTGGCCTCGCCTGTCTCGTCCGGGCCCAGGAGAAGGGCCTCCATAGCCAGGGCCCTTTCCCGGAGGGCCCTCTCTGCCCTCGGGCGTCGGCCAACTGCGTCCTGAAAGGGCCACTTGCGAGCAGGAAGATGTCAGGGATCCTTCCTCCTTTGCGAGAGACGTGCTTTCTCAGCCCCGGCCTTTCAAGGGCGTCGGTGGCCACACGCACTCGCCTCGGCTCACAGCTCACAGCTCACAGCTGCACGGGAAGGTGACGAGTTCGGCCAAGTGGCGCAGTTCTCCCTGCGACTTCAACCGGCTAACAAGATCCTGCGGTGGAGTTGGTGCAGCGGTGATCTATGACACGACAGCACTGGGAGCCTCGTTGTTGGGCCTCGCTGCCCCGGAACCATGCTGATCAGCACCCCCCCCTTCACCGTTCCACACACCGCTTCTGCAGCGCTGTTTTGAGTTTTTGTGTGTCAGGGTTCTAGCGGATTTTGAAAGCCTCTGACAAACCACAAGTTGGCCGGGTGAAGCTCTCGGAAGCTCCCTCTGCCTTTCGAAACGTCAGACGTTGCCGGCGTGAGCGGAAGTCAGGGGCAGCGTGGTCCTCCATGGTCTCATCGAAGCCTGCCACTTCGCGAGTCTTGGGCGCGCGTCTCTATGTGGCAGCTTTTCAGCTCTTTTTTCGCCTTTGAAGGTCTCGAAGTAGGAGAGGTGGGCGTCGCATAGGAGCTGGGCAGTGGCACAAGCAGAGCCTAAGTTGAAAACACTCCTCTCTCTCAATCTCTGCAGAGGGTACAGGAGGTGCCATGGAGGCAGGACCCTTGCTTTCCCAGGCGCGGGTGCCCTCGAAAACCAGCGCATGGTCCTTGTCATCGAACCGGACACTGCTCGCACCGCTGGCGATCTGCACCCGTTCAGCCACCTTGCAGGTGCCCGTTATCTGGTGCTTTACTGGGGCACCGTGCCGAGTGTTGTCTTGAGACTCTGGATGGTGTTGGCCGTGCATTAGCAATGTAGGGAGCTGAATTGTGGCCAATCTCCTCTTCGTTGGGGCGACGAAGTCCCAAGCATCTTGAGGTTGGGATTGTGGCCTATCGTCGGATCAGCGGTCTGAAAGGTTGCCAATTGCTGGCTGGTGGCAGTCCCATTGCGTCCCAGGATCCAGCTTTTCCTCAGCCGGCACAGTATGAGAGCAGATCGTGGCCACTTTGAGGGGGCCAAGTTCACAAGTTGCCGCAGCAGACCAACACTTTTAAGCAAGTAGTGGGTAGTGTACTATGACTACGTCGTCATGTGCCACTGAGTTTAGATAGTGTCCTCACGCACGTTCTCCCCAAGCTGCGCCGAGGTCCCCTAAGCAGTGCTCCTCGAAGTGCTATCAGGCGGTCTGAAAGGTGACTGTGCCGAAGCTACAAAGACGACCTCGTTTTGCCCAAGCAGACCACGGCCTACCCACGGTCCGAGCATTGCAAGTGACCCCACCCGTTGTTTGGAGGCTGCCCCACAGCGTGCTGCCTTCGCATGACCATAATATTCGACTCACTTTTGACTATGCGCGCTGGAGGCCTGGAGGCTTACTGCCTCATCGACGGAGCAAAGGCTCAGCAACCAAGTGTAACCGAGACTCATCCCCTTTTCCACGAGAATCCGCTTCTTGATCACTTCTGCCATGTCTCGAACTGCATGGACATCCTCCTGAATTCTACGGGTTACTCAATGCAAGACACAAGCATGTTCGTTGCCTCGTTCTGACCCAGCACGTGGACGCGCTTGAAGCCGGGAGTCTGTGGTGCAGCAGATGTCGGAATTGCTTTTTCGCAAGGCGAAACCCAGGCAGCGCCTCCGCCTCTTCAACCACGATTCTCACGGCATGCTCCTTTTGCATTGCCTGCCAGGTCCAGGTCTTTTTTCTAATGACGTCAGCGCTAGCTGCAGACGAACCCGGGCACTGTCTCAACCTCAGAGCCTCAATCCAACAATGGGAATCTAGTCTCTTGCAGGGTCGGAACGCATGCCGCCGGATTGACAGAGAAACCGGCCTGGAGTAAAAGTAAAGCTGCTGACTGCATCGTCTCGGAAACTTGGCTTTTTTGTGCAAACCAATCGTTCGCATCTCGTGGGTAAATTTGAGGGCTCAGTAACTTGGGTGACTTCGTGTTCATGTTGCAAGCCGTGAATAGACAACTGTAAAACTTTTCAGTACACTCCAAAACGCTGTCCCTGAAGCTTCAGACAAACCAAGCACGCGGAGCTCGGCGCACGGCGCCCACGGCCATGGCGACCTACTCGGCCCGGCCTGGATGTTTGCGCCGCTCTTGCCGATGAAGCGGCCAACTGCAGCTTTGGGCAAAGCGAACTCCGCCCTGGAGAAGCCTGGCCAAGGCACGTGCTCTCGTGAATCTGCCCCCAAACTAAACCCTCTTCGCCCTAATTGTGAGTTGGAGCCACTCATGGGCCGGCCGGGACCTCTCTTCAGCACATGTCCGTGTCCAAATCTCGACGAGCTGGGTTTGAATGATAGATGTGTAGATGTATTATTCGTATACATATACAGATGATATACTGATATACTCACCCATAACATCAGCTTTACACATCTTACTCGTTGTCAGTATTAAGTCCTTCACAGACGCATGTGGATGCACTCGTACTGATTTTTGCACGCATGCCTAGTAAAAAAGTTCTACAGCAGGTCTCGGCACAGCCCCAAAAAGGACTCAGAGACACCCTGCAGCGCCTTCAGCGGGCCGGCGAGCGTCCATGTCCGCGAGCTTCTTCACCTACACTGTGGTACCAGTCACAGAAGAGTGCTGAAAAGGATCACATCGAGACAGGATATGATGATATGCCCCTGGATTTGCTGGCGATTCTGGCCTGCCGCTCTAAGAGTGCCTTCAGGCGCGTCTGCTGTGCCTCCTCAAAGCACTTCACCTCGTGGGAGTGTGGGTGCATCCGTGATATGAAGGCTCGACGCGACGAGGCCTTCTCCTGGTTCTGCAGGATTGAAGGAATGAGCATCTTGGCTCTCTGCACCGCCTCGGGGAACTTCAAGTTTTGGCCGATGCCAGAGACTCCGCCTACACCGGGACGTGCCTTCTTGGTGCCAATGGCTATGACCTTTGCCTCACGAGTGCCAGTACAGTGTACCTGGCAAGATTGTGGAGTCTACGCGGCTGTGTGCCGAGAGCAGCCCATGCATAAGGCAAGGCCTTCAGGAGATCAGTAGGAGCGCAGCGTGCCTTGCACAGAGGGAGTAACTCGTGTGTGTGGGGTGTCATTCTGCGGAGCTGAAGCGGCCACATCACCAGTCTGAAGGCCCACAGCCATGCACTCGACCTGACAGAAAAAATCGGAGTTGCAGCACAACTGTCTGGACTCGAAGATCTTGGACCCGCGCGCGTCGAAACGCGCTGGCGGCATCCGGGGAGTCGAGCCATCGTGCGTAGGACACATCGACGGTCACCTTTCCGCGGAAACCCTCACAGCTGAAAGAACCATTTTCCAACCCTTGGCACGAAAGGAATCCTCAGTGGCGCGGTGCCTCTGCTTTTTGTAAGACACCAGCGACCTCTGCCCAGATGTGACTCAGAAAGAACGACGCCATAGGTCTGCGTGCTACCGCTGCACACCCGTAGCTTTTCCGACAAGTGGTTGCTGAATAGAATTGCACGTTGTAAGATCAAGGCATTCCCCTCGCGGCTGGAGCAGGGCCGGAGACGCGAGCGTGGCATCAGAACCTTTCAGCCGGGCTGAGCTTCAACAAGGATTAGTTCAGCTTCCATGTTTTCATGTTGCGCAGGGTTCAGAATGCATCGCAGGCGAAGCAGCAGAACCGGTGGGGTTCGAAAAGAGCTGCAGCGCTGTGCCTCCCCGGAAGACCCTTGCCTTAGCACATCCAGTCCTCACCCTAGTTCGGACACTCTCTGTTGCGAAGATCACATGCGCACAGCCGCACACCCCTTTTGACAAGGGCTGCACTGCGACTTCTCTGGCCAGCGAAGGTGCCACAAAGTCTCCAAGCCTCGGTGAGCAACGAGGACCGTTCAGTCGTAGCAACTTTGATCATGTGCAAATGTGCCGGTCGACAGCCGAGGTGGCAACGTGCATGTACCTCTCTGCCGGGGAAACTTACTCTACTTACAGACAATGCCGACGGCGAGAAAGCTCCTTATGCAATACTAGCACCGCGCACAGCAAGGACACGGCCACTGGTACAGGTCAAATCCCCCCTATACATGAGAGAGTCTTTGTAGGGGGCAAGGTGCGTTCCTGGTCCACAGTGGAGGTGGGATCCATTCCGGGTCCGTGCCAGTTTCGGGCATGTGCCACGTCAGGCCGGAAGTAAGCTGTTTCGCGTCGTGCGACAGTACGACCAGTACTACCACTAGTGCCACAATTGCCACACCAACATCAACACCAACACCATCACCACCAACAACAACAACTACGACGACGACGACGACCACGCCCACGACGACTACGACCACGACAACGACGACTACTACTACAGCTACTACAGCTACTACAGCTACAGCTACTAAAACAACAACAACAACTAGCCACCCCCCCCCCCCTACCAACTACACTTGCTCCATCCGGGCTGGGCAGTGGCAGCTTCCAGGCTCCCGAACTGCGACAGGTGCAGAAGATGCAGGGGCTCAGGCTCCCTATCTGTGACACCTGC